ACGGGGTGACCAAGAAAAATCAACGCAGCTTCTTGGGCGGGGGGGGGGCCAGTTCACCCCTTACACGAGCGCTGTGAACTGAGTGGGGGCTCCTGAGCCTGTCCATCCTGTCCCATGGCCACAAGCTATAGAGACCCGCCCAGGTCTTCTGGCTTTCCACCGTCAGAGCCCGACCCGTCACAGCCCGACCCGGGTGAAACCACGTGGCCCTCTCAGCAGACCCACCGGTGTCCCCCCCAAGGCAGGCCGCGGAGAGCGAGGGCCTGGTGATCCGAAGGCCGAACTTCACCAAGGAAGGGGGCTTCCCCTTGGCCGAGGCGGGAGGCGGCCTGGGGTTCTTCTGGTGGAGAGCGGAAGTCCCCGAAAAAGGTGGGTGGCTGGGGTTTTCTGAGCGTTGGCATGAAGGGCTGGGCACCAATTGACATGGAGTCAACATTCCAACGGTGGGGAAGACACCGCTGGCGAGGGACCCCGGTTTTTCTTCCGGCGAAACCCGGAGGGAAGACTTCAATGGCCAGACTTCCGCGCTTTCGGAGGTGCTGGAGATGGTGAATTCCAAGACTGCTCTGGTGGTGCTCAGTGACTTGCAATGAACGACCAGCGGCTCGTTCGACCGACGAGAAAGGAGGAGCAGACGTGTGTTGTGTTTGCAAGGGCAAGGAAGTCTCCCTTGGTGTGTTTCGAAGGTGAATGGAAATCTACCTACTACTAATCATATAGTCGACTATTAATCAGTATATTTATATACTACGTAGAATGTTTCAAGTCTCTTTTTAGTTAGATGATTTCGATCTTCGGCCGCGTGCCGCGTGGAGGGAGCCTCTGGTGTTCGCTGAAAGGGGGACTTGTGAGCATTCATCCAGCTTCTATAGTGGAGCTTTTCATTGGAAGCCGATCATTCAAACACCGGCGGGATCCCGATTTGCGCCAAACTCATGTAAGTTGACAGTGTCGGTTCCCTAGATTTGGCCATTCTTCGGCGAAGCGAACCATCTCACCCATCTCAGCAACCACTTGGGAAGGATCCAGCATCAATTTGTGCGCAACGTCTGGGAGACGACGAAAAAGGTGTTTTCAGCGAAAGCAAAGAAAAGCTGCAGCACGCTGCGATCGAATAGAGGGCCGCAAGGAGACCTACCCAGATTCATCAAGATTCCTCCCTCAAATTGGGTCAAGTTAGCAGATGTTTGACGGTTTGACGTTTTTGCTGCTGGGACAGACACATTCTTTTTCCAGGTGACGCCACAAGTACTGTATACTCACCCAATCAACAACGAAGATGAAAGGCCACTGGGGGGTTCCATGGCTGGTATCCTGGCATAATTTGACCCAGGTTGTGTACCACGAAGGAATATTTGTGGATGAAAAGGTCACTTTCCCTTCAAGAAAGCCTTGGACATAAGCTTCGACCCTGGCCTTTCCAGTATTCCTTGTCCTGCAAATCGGGCATTTCTTGCAGCTCAGATCCGCTCTCCACTTCCGTGCGGGGTCGTTTGGACGCGGAGGCAATCCCAACAACCCCACGGGCACGGAGATCCCTCGCGAGGCTATCATCCAAGTGCCCCTTGGGCCAGACCACGTCGGCGCGGGAGAGGTGATTGGGTCACAAGGTCCTCCACGAGCCCAAGGGGGGATGGCGACGTACCAGGGCCAGAAACTACGTAGGCCACATGGATATTTCTCAGATAAGATGATCCAATGGGCGAAATATTTGTAATTATCCAATGATCCAATGGGTGAAAACTGAGTGGCCAGATAATATATATATATAATATATATATATATATTTAGATAACCCCAGAATTCTTCACTACCAAGTTCACCTCCTTTCTGAGACAGGAGTCCAAGAATCCGCAGTGGCATGGGCCCAAGTGATACAGATTCGTGGTGTGATACAGCTCGGCGGCACAACGAATCCGGGGAGCGAGGGACAGCATATGTTACGAACGTAGATCGAACGTAGCGGAACTAGCTGTTCGTAGTAATGCCCAACTGTTGCTAGTAGCGATGCCTTGTTACTAGTAGCTTCTAGCTACTACAGTTATTTTTTTAAATACTCTTTTCCTTTTCCATCCCGAGTTCCTGGCCACAAAAGCTCCTCCAGAGTACAAGAGCACAAGCGTTCTTCGAGTTTCCTAGCCACATGGCGAACGCTGGCGGACCATCTTCCAAGATGCTCTTCCGTCAGACCACCTGGCGGACCCCAGAGAACGGCCTCACGTGGTGACCCTCTTTCAGGTCATCCGGTCCGACCGATCTCACTCGACCGCCTCTTCCGACGGAACGCTTCCCACTGGGAGGCTGGAGACGGTGAAGTGTGCTGTCTTGGTGGACGAGTGCTACTTCGAGTTCATGGATCCCAAGAGCACCGTGGTGCGCCTCGGAGCACCGAACGGGCCCGCGGTGGGAGACGCAGACGCCACGCACGCGGTGGGAGACGCTGCGGAGAAGCTGCGGAGACGATCGGTGTTTCCTTGGTTCTTGATTCGGGGCGACGGGGTTCGTTGGAAGTTCTCAGAGCGGAAGGGGCCTGAAAGAGGGTCACGAAATCTAGACCATCTCTGCTGTCTGCAGGAGGTGATGATGCCAACAAAACTCACCACCGGATCGGTGTTCCCAAGCCACCGGTGAATGAATGTGAATGATCCAGCAGTCACAAGACGGGGTGCGATCCATGGAGGTTAGGGGGTGCCCATGATCCACTCACTTAGAGACTAAGAACCACCCCTTTGTGACTCCTGGATCGTGTTATCTTCAAAGGTGTTCTGAACTTCTACAACTTCCTCGCATGCAGGTGCTGCTGTAGACTTGAAACGCAACACCCACGAAAAAATCCACCGAAACTCCAAACTCTTTGACCGTAACCCGTCATGGATGTATTTTTGGGAGAGTTGGCCGTCACGGCCGCCCCGCGCCGCGCCCAGGGGTGAAGTGGATCGCTTTCCGAACCTCTTCGTGAGCCGGACCTTCTCAAAGACCTGGGGCATTCCCAGTTTGCGGCTGGGATACCTGGTATCCTGGGCACCGAGGTTATTCGTTTGGTTGTTGTGACGCGATTCGTTTGTTTTGACCGTGTTTGACTCCCTTTAGTTGAGGGACAAGTATGGATGAAGCAAAATGGGATGCAAAAGGGCTCCTGAGGGGTGACTTTTGCAAAAAAAAAAACTTCTTCCTCCTCCTCCTCAGGTCCTCCTCCTCCTCCTCCTCCTTCTTCTTGTTCGGGATTTTGACAGATCAAGACCAACAAGACCAACAGCCCCCCTTAGGCCCTAGGCTTAGCCTGGTGGTTGTTAAGACGTGCCCCGCCACGGGCGCCTGCCCGGCAAGCCGAGGTATCCACCAAGCCCAACGTGGATGCCTTGACCTGCGTTCGCGGACCCTACGACATCAACCAGAGCCTTGGTGGACGACGGCACCGACGTCACCGATTGATGTCCCCCCTGCAATCAGGATCCGAAGTCGCCCTGAAATCGGATCCATGCGGTTCGTGGATGGCATGGTGATCCGTAGAGGACGGAGGACCAGGTTTCTGAAGGTCGAAGAGGCGGTTTTTTCACTTCGTTAATGACTGGTATGCTTAGTCTGGGTGAGGAGCGACTGGTCCTCAATTGTTCGATAGATCTCTCAGCCACTGTAGCCGCTGCGGGACATGGTCAAATGAAGCATCGCCCTAGCCCTAGAACACCCTAGCGCAAAGTGAACCTGTTTCAACTGACCGTTCTTTGCAAACACAATGTGTGTCCACACCTGCAGTGCGCTGCGGTGAGTCCGTGCGTCTTTTCCGAGGATTGCCGTGGTAGGCATCACCGCGGCGTTGAAGCAGCGGCAGTATGTCTTCGAGTATGTGCGGGAGGTGATGGAACCTGGGCCTCGAAATCGACACATGTCCGTCTCGGTGAGTCAGATGCGCCTCTGAACTCGCAATGACCAAGATCCGGAAAGCTGCATGCTTTTCGAGATCTTGTAAGCCAGTCTATAGGAATCTATAGGGCTTACTTGAACATTTGTTGCACTCCAAGCGCCAGTGAGTCTAATTAGTGTTGAAGGAAGAAATCACAGACCACCCATGAATACCCCTCACATCCCCTCACTTTTTCCAGAGCTTTGCTTCATCCCTCTGTCTTGGAACACCTTTTCATCAGTCGCATTGGTTCTTGCATCCTGCCAGTCATATGGCTCCAGTGGTGCTCCTTCGCAGCCGCCCCGTCACGTTGCTCCCTGGTCGCTCCGCGCGGACGCGCAGCCTCCGCGCGGTGAGCGTGGTGACGCACACCGACCGAACGGGCTTCGCCATGCCGAGCGCCATCCACACGGGCGTGCGACGGGGCGTGAGCAGTGCATCGGAGCCTGGGGCGACGGTGAAACGGGGTGGGGGGGGGCAGGGGAACATGGTCAGGATCGATCTCCTGATCCATTTTAACCCAATATAGCTGGATTCTCCATCAGTTTACGTTCTTTTTTTGAATTCATCTCACCTGGCGACGCTCCAACCATTTCTGCAGAAGCTCGACCTTCGGGGTTCATCCTCATCCTCATCCACATCCTGGGGGACTTCTTGAGTTTGTCCGGGGGTTTGATTTGCGCAAGCCTCGTGGCATCCGCAAGCCTCGTGGTTCCGGAGGATAAGATCCGAAGCTTCGGCGCGGTGGCGTGCTTCATTGCGATCGAGAAGGCGATGATCGCCACAGGCCACATCGTCTGGGCGCGTCCTGGGCGGGTTGTTGCCGAGTGTGCACACCCATCGACCATTGTCTTGGGTGGATGGGTCAATTGACCGCAGCACAAAAGGGGGGATGCTGCTATTCTCCCGTCCACAGTCATGTAGTCATGTAGACTGACGATCAATTACCCCCCCGCCTGTTTTGATTGTAAAACTTCTACTATATAAATATATCATTATATTTATCAAATGTAGTCTGTACTTCCTGGAGCTTGAAGTGAGTCTTTTGATTGGAACGTCAGCGCCACAGGTGTCGCAATGGACACCCCATGTTTCTGGTGCCACAGGTGTCGATGCGATGTCCGTGCGATGCCTTTTCCGTGCCTTCGGCGCGCGCGGCGCTAGGCTTGTCGAGCTACCTGCCAAGCACGCTGCTGGGCATGTTTAGCCTGTTCGGCTTCCTGCTCCTTTTGGAGGTCACTGGGCAACCGGAGGCCGCCATGGGCCTTTTTCGCTTTCTGGAGCCTGGCTATCGCGCCTCGGCCATGGGCAGGTTGATGGATTTGCACGCGGCTGCCCTCTCACTCTCGAAAGCTTAGAACAACGGGTATGTAGCGCAAGACTTGCTGGATGAAATGGTGGAATCTGGAGCCTTCTCTCTTGCACCACAAGATTCTTGCTTGAGTCATTGAGGGAGACATTCCTTGATAGATCATGTCATAAGTCATATTTAGATGGTTTGGAACCTCCATTACCGCGCTGGAGTACAGAGAGAATGGCAATGTGAATGTCAGCAAATGTGATCAGTCTACAACTTTCCCAAAATATATAGCCAGTGGGCCCTTGGAGATTCTCTTTGACGATCTTTTCGGAGAGAAGATGTGAGGCTTCTTGCTGAAGTGGGCGCCGGTCTTCTTCACCCCGGCCTTAGCGACTTGGCCAGTTGGAGAGGAGACACTGTCCCATGAATTCACCAGCTTTTTGGTCAATTTTTCAATTTGATATAGTCCCTTCTATGTAGTCTGTCGATTGTGGTCGCGTGGGAGGGGTGTAAAATTGCACCCGCAGACGAAGACGGATTGCGCAGACACTTTCCTGAGATGGATACGCACTGAACCGAAGACGATTCCTGGGCAAAGACGCAGACGAAGACGCATCGCCCGCAGACGAATTCCCCAGCGCAGACGAATTCCCTAGCGAAGACGAAGACGAAGACACATTCCGTGAAACGGTATAAACTTCCAACGGAGAAAAAAACCGGACACGGAAGGAACAGCCCGAAACAAAAGAAAGACTTGAAGCGGAAAAATACCGGATACGAAAACAACAGACCAGAAACGGATAAGACTTGAAACGGAAAAAAGCCGGATACGGAGGAAACAGAACGGATAAGACTTGAAACGGGAAAAAGACACGGAAGGAACAGCCCGAAGCGGAAGAAAGACTTGAAACGGGAAAATGCCGGATACGAAAACAACAGACCAGAAACGGATAAGACTTAGAAACGGAAAAAAACCGGATACGGAGGAAACAGACTAAGCGCGGAAACCATCAGACTTGGGTCCGCGCGCGCGCGCGCGCGCCGCACTCAGCTCTACAATATTCAACTTCCGGCGCGCGCGAGCACGGACCCAAAACATTGTCCGACATGCCACGGTTTGCTGAAATGGGAAAAACAGAGTTGCAAGGGAAAAAGACGGAAACTTCCCCCCTGCTTTCCAGAGAATCTTGAAATCTTGTTGTTGGAAGCCTTTGAATCATGCTGGCCCTGAACATACGCCAGACATGGTTTTGAACTCCACCTCAGCACCCTAAACAAAAAACCCACCTGCATACATACAGGGAGAAGCTTTTTCACCGATAAATAGATACACATCACTACACATTATTTTAAACTCGGGTGCGCGCGCGCGCGCCTACAGTTTATAGTCTCAGTTTGTTTCAAGAGCATTGAGTCGAAGACACATTCGCCGACGACACCTTGAACCCTGACGACACAGAGACACTGACGACACATTGTGCAGACAGATTTCCTGGACAGATTTATTCTTTTAAAGAATAATTTGTCCAGGCCTCCCACCGTCGCATAGTCGTCGTAGTGGCTTGGACCTGCAAGAACAGGGCCACATGAAGAACAGGTCCACTGGGCTCCAAAGACCACCGATTTCGGAGGGGAGGGGGGGGTTAAGTTATGCGGTAAAAAAGTGTACAAGAGCGTCTTTCTCATTTTACGACCAGCCAGAAGGAGCTTTCGGATGCATTTTTTGATGTTTTTTGCGGAGAGTCCATTTCTTTGCCTCTTGCTTCGTTTCAGCTTCAGCAGCTTCAGCAGCTTGCTTCAGGTGAAGTTGCCTCTGGTCGAGGAGCCGATTTCCCCCTTCGAGTTCCTGAGGGTGGCGTTGCTGATCTTTGTCGGGGGCATGATCCAGATGGCGGCCGTGGCCCGGCTGGCCGCTCGGCGTTGCGGGTTTGGACCTGGTGCGGAGCCCTTTTGTTGGACCAATGCAGACAGGTGACATGAAGGGGTCTCAATACAAAGAAGGGGGTTCCACATTGCATTGCTTTTGAGTGCTTCTTTTTGGTGACATGTTGCAGGTTTGACCCGATGTGGTGTCACATTCTGGGCCATGAGTTATTGAGAAGATCCGTGAAAGCCAAGAAAGTGGGGTGTGAAGCCAGTTGCAGCACGCTGCCAAATTGCCAAATATGGCAGATAGAGCATGAACATGAATCAAAGGGTTCAAGCAACATGGTGTTGACATGTTTATGTAATCACATCGCCAAATCATTTGTTCGCATGGTTTCGATAAAAACAGTTGAAAGACATCGACAGGTCACGTGTCTTGGACTGTACATCCGGTCCTGGTACTCCAGGGTCCACAGGCTCTGCATCTTGGAAGTCCGCTAAGGTTGCTGAAGATCCAGAAGTCTGTGTTTCTCCCTCGGAAACAGCAACAATACTACAGTTATATATATATATATACTAGAACGTCTGTGTGGCATAGGGTTTTAAGGTGTTTTTACGTCCAGTCCTGCCCTATGTGTATAGTTTTCTAAATGAAACTATAACTTCAAGGTCAACGTTTTTGGTTTGTTTTGCCAGAACTCTGAAGTAGTGATTCCAAAGAGTGACTAGGACTATAAGAATGCAACAATGCAAGTGTTTTTTTTACACCTCATAGTTTTCTTGTACTAGTAACAAGCTTTAAAAAAACACCTCATACTTTTTTGGTACTCGTAACGAGGTCATCGCTACTATTATCAAGGGCATCGTTACTATATAGTAACAAGGGCATTGCTAGTAGTAACAAGGGCATCACTAGATATTACCAGTATTGATTTTGAAGTTCTTTTCCAAACTCTGAAGTTGTGAACACCCTCCACGAACCTCCGCGGGACAAGAAGAGATCCACCCATGACCACGGCCGCGAACCTGAGGCGCGGAGAGACCAAACACCCCCACACCCTGCAGAGAAGGGGTGCGGATGCGCGTTAGGCCGCGTTTTTTCCGCGAAAGCGACGGATCTCCCATTGATGAACATTTGGATTGAAACACCTCTTCAATCCGGGGAGTGCACATGTACCAAGGCTCAGTGGTTCATCTCGCAAGAGCCGAAGAAGGTCATCTAAGAAGTGGAGGCCTCACCCGCGGCGGCCTCCACGGATTCCTCGCCACAAGGACAGGGACTGGGGTCACGGACCGCGGTGTGAACTGTGTGCTGCGGAGAGAAGAGGGTCCGGAGGGCTTCAAATGGGGGCTCCCCCGAAGCGGTGGGGCCCAGACACGAAATGGGCAGTTGACGATGGGGCGAGCTCATCGAGCTCACAAAGCTCGTAAGCTGGCGCCCGGTTTCCAAGCGGTCATTCCCAGTTCGGGCCTTCTCCACAGAGTGGGCTGGGTTGGGGGTGGCTTCAAGGCGATAGGCAAAAAGAGATCCGCCAATTCCATGCAACTTGAACAACTTGGCGGAACAAGGCTGCGAGCACTTCCAACTTCTTCACAAATGATCAAAACTTAGAGGCCTAAACGACCTCGAGTTGGGCCCTCAAAGCATCACTGAAGAACCAGGTCTTTCAGATGGGGCACCTGCGGGTAATCTGAGTCATCCCTGACCCAGCTCGCCAGGGTTTCGACTGCTCGATTCTTGCCGGAGCTCTCTTAAATGGGGCCCTTTCTCGGTCAAAGAGGATCACTGTTGAGAACTCCAAGTAGATTGGGGATGGACCTTGGATGACTTGGGATGGACCTCGGTTGACTGGATGGACCTTGGTTGACTTGGGATGGACCTTGGTTGACCCCAAAATGCAAGCTTTACGCTTCTGCGGCGCCTTTTCTTTTCCGTCTTGGCCACCGCGGTGCGGGTCGAGGTGGCAAGGAACCGTACCCACGACCGGGACGGCCCTTCAAGAGGCGCTGGCTGCCGGTCTATGGGCTCGTGACCTGGGACCAACACGGAAGCAAAAGGACGAGCGAAACGGACGACAGAAGCAACAAGGTGATAGGTGATCAATGTCAACCAGAGAGGCATGTAATATATACATAGTAGCATCATGTAGCAACCTTGGCTCACAAGAATGGCCGAAGACATGCCTTAACCCCGCCTTGGGGTTGCCCTGGTGTTTGAGTTTCAGCTCGTGAATTGTTTGGGGGTGCTCGGTGTTTTGTTGACCGAATGGCCTTGGTGACTCTTCATGTCTTCTAGGTGTCATGTCTTCTAGGTGCCCAACCTTGGAGGCCCCTGAAGCATATGTATTTTTATAGTCACTCACTGGTGTGGCCATGTCACTGACGTGCAAGTCCCGATGTTGAGGTGATGTTGGTGGCATTGGGGTGCCTGCACTTCGGCCATGGCTCTAGGAGCTGTGCCCTGGGCTTCACTGGAAAGACGGGTCTCCAGGTCTCCGGGTCTGGCTGCGGTCGGCAGAGCCGGAGAAGGCCGTGGGTTTCAGGGCGATACCGGCAAAGAACCTGGAAGACTCGCTTCTGGGTCACGACCTGGCACGGTCCACAACGGCAGGTGTTGAGATTGGTTCCCAACCGGTCGCCGGTTCGATGCCAAGACTGTACCGTGGGTGACGAAGACGACTGGGAGCCCTGGCGCCGGGGGGTCATGGCACCGGGGGTCGCCCCTGTTGAACACCGAAAATGAACAGAAATAGCTCCAACCGAGCAAAATGGTGAGCTCCAGGTTTTGACCCACTACCGTTTCCTCGGAGTAATCTAGTCCAGGTCCAAAATAGGTCGTCTCACCGGAATCGCCAAGCGTTTCCGGGCTTTTTCCATGCTTCAAGGTGAGATCGCCTACATGCTTTGCTCCTCCTTGCTGGCCTTCGTTCTGGGGAATTCCGCCCCGCCCAATGTCAAGTCGCACCTCGCCCAGTTTTGCTCGCGGACGTTGTGCGAGCTGGGAGCTGTCCAGGATTGGCACAGCCCTGTAGTGTGGTTAGCATGCCCTACAAAAGGCGAGCGGAGAATGCGAAAGCACCAGGGGTTTCAGTCCTCGGACCTTCGATTTAACTATCAACTATCCCGTTTGGAACTCAACTTTTGGGGATACAAGCCAATTGAAAGTACCAGCCAGCCTTAGCTCAGCCACTTTGCAGCTGAGATCTTCGTTTGCAAACTTACTCTATGCCTTTTGGAGCATAGGAGTTTTCCGGGTGGATTCCATCGTCGGTTCGCATGGGCGTGACATGCGGTCCCGGATGTAGAAGGACCCTGCCACATCGATGAATTTTCGGCTTCACCAGGAGCGGAACCAAGTGACGAACCTGTTAGCCAGGCCTCGCCATGGCTGGTCACAAACAGAGAGACTCCAGTCGAGGTCACGAAGTGAAGGTGGAATGCTGATTGTTGATTCGCTAGAAACGACCTTCTCTTACCAGGATGGGTGACTTCATTCCGTTCATTTCCGTTCTACGTCTACATCTCCATATATTTGGTGACTTCATTTGGGTACCATGTCTCCACGTACCGTTCCCGTTCCCGACTCCTCCCCATGAGTCAGGATCTTTCACCCGATCTTCGCGAGTGTCTTCGGCTCGTGGCTGGCCTTGTATTTGTGGGCCCTGAGCGACGCGACCCGCAGCTTCCACGACGTGCTGGTGACCTACAGCTCCCCCGGAGCGACCGACCGTTCCGGGTGCGAAAGGTGCGAAAGGTGCCGCGTGGTATCCTTGTGTCATGTTGGGAGACTGGGGATCGGAATTATGGAGTATACATGTCAATGTATATAGTAGTATAATTCTTGTAATTGATGGATGGCTGCAATTCAATTTTAGTTCTTCGCTAGTTCAATCTTCGAATTTGTTTATGCTGCAGTGAGCTCAACGTTCTCAGGTGTGCTGCCCTCATGCCGATGTGTTCTGGGTCTGTCATCCTGCCACCATAAAATTGCACAGTAGTGACATGCCACCATAAAATTGCATAAAATTGCAAAGTAGTGACACTAGTGATGCTCGATTGATGTCTCTGTTGGATTCATTCACACACCCTCCATTGTGCACACATGTATCATGTATCGCCAGTGTCGCCCATCGCGCAATTTCTTGAGAGAGGTGTTTGTTTGACCCTTGTTTCAAGCACCAAGCATGCATTCCTACCTACCCATTCCACGACCTTGTCCCCTCCCAGAAGGATCAGATCAGTTCCACATGTACGCGTTCTCACCCATCAGGCCGTTCTCACCCCATCTCTCATGCTTCGTGTGACCGCCCGGGGCATCGCCTCACCCCGGGCGGTTCTCACCCCACCCATCCGCCCGGCCCCCACCGGTTCGCCCGAAACAGACCCGGTCCCACCGGTGACGAGTCGGTCTCCGTCTCGATCGGGGACCAAATCGATGAGTCGATCGGCTGGTCGGTTCTTCGGCGGATCGGTGTTTTTCTTTTTTTTTTTCCGGTTTCGGACACATCACTTGTTGGGCTCACTTTGTTTTGTGATGCGGCTTTTTTTTGTGGTAATTTTAAGACGGTGCCAATATTGTTTTTTCTTCCAATGTTTTCAAGTCCAGGAGGAGCAGGGCCTTTGATGTCAATGCTGCTGACTCTTGGTGAAGAGCATGCTGGTGATCGGATCGGCTGCTCGTGGCCCCCCAAAGCATGGTACATACTTTGTGGTACTGCAGCAGGACTCGTTTTGGCGCCAACTCCTGACTGCTTTCGATGAACTCTCGTCATCCAGGGCTGAGGACGTAGATGACTCTTTGGGAGAGGACTTGAAACATCTTGAAGCTATGTCTTCGACCCTACCGTGATCAAGGGCCTTGAAGGGGTCGTTCGATATCTTGGGTCTAGTTTCAGCAAACGACGGTGGCTTCGCAGGGCTCCTGGCGGTGTAAGTCATGGAACGCCAAGCTTTGTTTAAACCGTTCAGGACCTGAAAGATGACATCTGCAGCTTGGGCGTTCCGCCTGAAACACTGGGAAGCATGTACCTCATGTACCTTCGTGAAAGAAGCATTGCAACAGTAATCACTGGTATAGTTTGGTTTAGTTTGGCATTATATTCAATATATATATATAATATATTATATATTATATAATACTTGACTTAAGAAAAAGAAAACAAAGAACCGTTTGGTGTCCCCTGTCGAGTTATGTCAGGGGATGGAACCATATATAGTGCGTTTGGGTGCTTCCCAACCAGGCAGCCAGACCCAAGCACTTCAAGAGCCAGAACACCCGGCCCAACGCGCCCAACAGCTTCCCTCCGCTTCACAGCCTCTCACAACCCCAAAAACACCTGGCGGGTGGAAAAACCGACCCTTTCAGCAATGCAACCACTTTTGATCTTTTTGCCCAAACCTCAGGCGGTTCCCCCACTTCGCACGCCCCAGGAACCCCTTGGTGGTCGCCTTGGCTTTGCTCCTCTTCGAGCGCCGAAAGCTCCTGAAGAGGGACCGGAAGCTCATCCTCGGCACCTCAGACCGGAGCACCGGAGTTCAACTCGCAGTAAGGAAAGGTTTTGATCCCAAACACTCCATGGGGCTCATATCATATGTAGAGCACACATATATATATATATATAATATATATACTGTATATGCTAGCGCCCCCAAAAAACACCAACCTTAGCTGCTTAGCTTTGGATGCAATCATTCAAAACATTGATATTAGTGCAGATGTAACAGAAGAACTAATTGAGGATAGTTTGTAGATACATATTTTGAAGGTTGCATTGCGTTGGACACATGGATGTATGCGTGCAAAGATGGCAGACGCACCACTTGAATGTAAGACTTTCAAGCGGGTGTTTGAGCTTGCACCTTGAGTGTATTAAACATATTCCGCCGATTAAAAGACATATACAAACTTTCAAGTTTTGAAGTACCATTGAATTTAAGGCTTTAAATATTTTGAATATTTCGCCTCTCAAAACTTAAAATATATAAGTATTGAATTCAAAGGGGTTGCCAATTCCAGTGATCAATTTAATATTTATAACATTCAACTTTAATTCAAATTTAAACATATTGAAAGAACAAAATTCTTAATAGGCAGCACATTTATATAGAATGTTTGAAACGTTCAAATCTAATGCAATATTTATATATTTTCAGAACTTTCTTATTATGCTGAATATTTGATTCCTGGAATTGGTAACCCTCTTGAATTCCATATATTCAAAAAAATCTAAATATTTCGCCTTGTAAAGGCATTCAAAACATAAAAATTGAATTTAATGCTTTACATGTTATTTTTTTATATTTCGCCTATTAACAATATTCAAACTGTTCAAAATATTGAATTCAAAGGGGCTGCCAATTCAAGTAACGAATTTAATATTCCAAACATTTAAAACATTCAGCTCAATTTTAGTTCAATTGTTGAAATATTTTAACCAATGTTTAATAGGCGGAATATATAAACTATTGAAACATTAAAATCACTTTTCATTCAATCAGTTAAATATTTTAGATACTTTTTAACAGGCAGAATACTTGAACAAACTCAATATATTGAATTAAAATAATTGATGTTTTTTTTTTAAACTTGAAATTATGTAATAGATGGCACGCAAACCCTGCAAAATGACGACTCCGTCACGGGGCACGGAGTGAAAACTAGCGGAGAGCCCTTCTCAGTGGAACCTCTGAAAAGTTCAGCTGGTTGGTTCCCAAGAAATCTGTCCTGATCTTTTTCCCATGTTGGGTAGTCAAGTGGCAGCTTCTACAAGAGCTCCCTTGCATCATGACATGAAGCTTCTGAAGCCACGTGGTTGAAAAGCTTAGGGAGTCTTTGGTCTCCTGGGTCTTCACTGCAGGGGTCCTTCTACAATGCTTTCCATCACATTCCCAGTTCCCACCCTCCACTCGTCGGAGTTCATGTTTGTAGGCCTTCTCTGCGCTAAGTCCACTTCTAGCCGATCCTTAGCAACAACCATACTTGAGGGGAGACTAGAGCAGTACTATATAAAGAGCAACCTTAATAAGAAGCTGCGGACGCATTGACTGGCACCTGGATCTGTGAGGAGATGCTGAGCTTCGACACGGACGCAGCAGCACTGGCCACCTTGCCTGGTTGGTGTGGTGACTCTGGTCAGTCCCAGCCTTCAGATTGTGCAGGTGGATCAGCCACTTCAACTTCCGGATCCTAAGCGAAAGATGCAGAACATTAAAGCAACCACCTTTTAGCACCTAGCTAGCACGGGCTATGCATGATCAAGTGCAGTGATATCAGTGTTTTTGCAAATGGCATCCTCAGCCTCAGAGCTTTCTTCCCCTTCATCACTTGATGTCGAGTGTGAAGGATCTCTGGAGCCTCACTGAAGCCACATTCACGCATGATATGCAAACCATATGGGATCAACAGTTGTTCAACACGCACACTCTAGCACTCTTAGTTGAAATATTTAGGTAAGCAACGTGGAGGATTGGGGAGAGGGATACCTGGACACTGGATACCTGATTGCTCAAAGATCTCACGCATGGCTTCCTCCCTGGGGAAGTGTCGTGTTGTCGCTCCACGATTGAAGACTGAGATCAGACGTTTGATTTTCCAGACTTCCAGCCGAGCTCCTAGGAGGTTTGGGCAAAAGCCGCAAATATATCCAGGTTCTTGGAGCCTTAGGGATTTGATGGGATTCCCAAAAGGCGTTGAACAAACATACACTGTTTCTGTAGACAAGGTACGGGAGATTGGTTGCCTTCGCTTCGTTTCTCCCTGTCTTTTTTTGCGAAGAAAATTGGTCTTATTTCCGGTCGTAGTGCGTACCTGCGTATGTTCAGGTAAAGGTTCTTGATCCATCGAACACCCTGTCAGACACACCAAGAGGAGGTGTCTCAGAGTCTAAATGTCAGTTCTCCAACTGCGATGGAGTCGCCATGTGTGACTGTTTGACAGGTCACTTGCTTTTTTGGGATACTTGAACTTGAACATACTATCGATGTGGACATTGCACTTCTATTCATTCAAGCCCTTGTGAATAACTAAGCCAAGAGGCGTATGTACTCCGTGGGTGTACTTTCAACGCATGACCAGCTTGTGTTGATGTATGTCGTTTCGATACGGCGTGTCGGATTTCACCCTTCCATAGATTCCATACCCTTCCTCGTTTGGATGCTCACCTCCTTTGTGAAGGGCTCAGCGGGGACTGTTTGAAACGGTGAACGGACTTTTTTCTGGGTTTGTGCGTGACAAGAAGTAGCAGGAAGTCAAGTGAACAAGTCGCCTAGGGCCTAGGGATTGTCATAACGGAATCACCTGGGGGGATGCCTATCAAAAAGAAAAATTGATTCCTATCAATAAACCTATTAAAAAACATTAATTCGCATCAAAAAGAAAATTTACCTCTACTCCTTTGGTCCTGGCCTGCTGGTTCCTTGATCGCTTGGTCCTTTGCTGCCTTTGTCCTGGTCCCCTGGTCTGTTGGTCCTCTGGTCCCTTGGTCCTCTGGTCCCTTGGTCCTCTAGTCCCTTGCTCCTCTGGTTCGTTGGTCCTCTGGTCCCTTGGTCCTCTGGTTTATTGGTTGTCTGGTCCCTTGGTCCTCTGGCCCCTTGGTCCTCTCATCCTCTGGTCCTTCGTCCTGGTCTTTGGGCCCTTGGGTCTGCACTTTCGAGGCAAGACGCGTTCAAGGTGATTTGGAAATCTGGTCACACATGACTGTGAAGCACTGTAGCAGACCTTTTGTCACCAGACGTAGCAGACCTTTTTTGTGAGCCACCCTGACGGTAAAATTTGAACGAAGAAGGTGCCATTCCAAGGTAGCAAACCTTTTGTCAGCCACTGGAGGGCGAAATTTAGAAGAAGAAGGAGCCATTCCAACGTAGCAAGCCTTTGTTTTGTGAGCAACCGCGCCTGCCACACAATCTGCACTTCGAGGTTCAAGTGCTGCGCCTGCAATGAAATCTGCAGTTCCAGTGCACAAAGTGCTGCGCCTGCCACGAGCCCTGCAACCGAAGGTGCTCAAAGTGCTGCGCCTGCCACGAAATCTAGCGCCGCTCCTGCCACGAAATCTGCTACTGAAGGCGCTCAAAGTGCTGCGCCTGCCACGAAATCTGCACATCCAGATTCACATCGCGCAGCGCTGCCGCGGCGGTTCGCAGTGGCAGGTGCAGCTCTTTGTGAAAGGACATTTTGTTTTTGATATCAATAATTTTCTTTTTGATAGGATATAGAACATTTTCTTTTTGATATCTATATATTTATTTTCTTTTTGATAGCCCGGCCTTCACCTGGGCCTAGGGAGGTCTCTTGTGATTAGTGCCATGAGCACAAGCATACCTTTCATCTGCGCGAAAAGGATCTGCGTACCCACCAAGTCCAAACTAAAGAACTTGACTTGATAGAATTTGTAGGAAGGCTCAGAGCCGGTCGAAGATCATTGTGTTGTTCCAATTGACTAAGGCCGTTACTAACCATCATCATCCACTCTTATTCTCCATGTCACAAACCTGTGGGGGCAAAGGTTGTTTGACTGGCCAGAGGTGAGGTGAGGCTCACAATCCTTTGAGATGATCGCGGTCGCGACCTCTAGAACAACACGACTTGGTTGTAATTTGTTTGGAAGTTTTAGCTTTCTTTTTTCAGGGAGGACGTCTCGCCGTTTTGAGTGGTTACTTGTCCTCCTTCAAGAAGTTGCGGCGATGTCACGCTCCGGCCCCAGGAGCTCCGAGCGACATGAGTGATATCGGAGATTGGTGAACGTTGTGAGGTGACGACGTGGCTCGTCTGCGTGAGCTGGTGGAGGCGGGCTCTTTGGTTAGCCACGGTTTCTCCCCCCCCAAAAGAGACGCTCCTCGGACTTCTCTGAGTCCGTGATGAACTGGCTCGGGTCGTCCGTATCCGCCTGGCGAATGGCGGGGAGGGGTCGGGAGGGGTCGGGACCGGAGTCGAACGGAGGAACTGGAAGGTGCAGGTCAGGCGCAGAGAGGTGAAGATGTCTGAGACAAGGGTGCGAAGCGATAGAGTTCAAGTATGTTGTTGAAGTTCAGCAGAGGTTCCTCTGGGAAGCTGGGTGTTGATGACCCCAAGGAAAGTTCATGGATGAACTCTCGACTGCTTCTCAGTCTGTTAACCTCCTCAGGATACTCAGGATGCAGGGGTTTTCTTGAAATCAACATGCTCAATAGTGGGATCCCATTGAGGTGGAGCTGCCCATCTCTCACCTCCGGCCACATCGATTTCAGGCAGACACCTCTGGAGGTCCTGAGCGCAACAATTTGATACACTTGCATTGTTTTTCAGACAGAAGAGGGGCAGAACAGGGTTCGGTATTTAACAGTCTCGGCAGAGTTCTTTGAGCTAAAGTCTCCTTTTTCGTCTATCCATTGACCTGTACAGGGCATTGGGGTTTAAGTCAGATAGTGCGAGTCCGCTGCCTGGCCGTTATCGTGGGGAACTTGGGGGCAAAAAGTCGCGATGTCCAGTCCAAACTCGGGCATGGAGCTCATTTCAGCGACTCTCATGCCAAGGCAA